CTCCTTCATAAGATTCACCACCCTCATGTTTTTCCACCAAATCACTTACATTTCTTTCTTTCTTCTTCTTCTTCTTCTTCTTTTCTGCATCTCCTTCACCAGATTCAACACCCTCACTGTTGATCACATCCTTGACATTGTGGAATTTCTGCCTCTTTGCGGGAGATTCAGAGTCACCCGCTGCATTAGAATTTACATTTTTCTTCTTCTTCTCAGTCTTCTTCACATCCCAATAACCTTTAACAAACTTATCCTCATGTATGTCTCGGATCAAATTATCAAGTGTTGGGTCCTCTTCTTCATCTGGCCACGTATGAAATAGCTCTTTGACATCATCCTTCATAACCAATTTACTCACACGCAGCTATAACATAGGAGATTATAAAACCCATTAGTAAGTTTAAACTGAATCATCAATAATTATAACTCAGCCATCACTAACCATCACTAATATAACTCAGCCATCCATAAATCATAACTCAGTCATCAAAAACGATAACTCAGCCATCACAAAATTTAACTCAGCCATTACTAAACATAACTCAGTTAGTAACTATCATAACTCAGTCATCAAAAACGATAACTCAGCCATCACAAAATATAACTCAGCCATTACTAAAACATAACTCAGTCAGTAACTATCATAACTCAGTCAGTAACTTTCATAACACAGCCAAAACCTTACCTCACCATGCGCTTTGATATCTTCAGCAATGGTCAATTCCATTGTTTTACGTGTACGGTTTCCACCCCAACGAAGCAACGGTATCTCATCCTTGTTGACTACTCTCCCATATCGCTCTCCAAAGCATTTGACTGAATCATACGCCAAAGCCTGTAACACGTAAACCATACCACTGACGGTGTACGTCTTTCCAACAGGCCTCAACATCTTTATAGAATTAACCAGGGCTTCAAATGCTGACCGACCCCATGGATAAGTGTTCATGGCTTCCTCATCAAAAACTCTTTTCGCACTTTCAAATGGTATTCTAGAGTTATGATGCAAGCCATACAGTCCAATGGCTTGAAGAGTCAACAGCCCCAACTACTTACGCTTTTCAGGAGTCCATGTCCTACACACTAGTAATCCTGCCCTCAGTTCATCTAACTTTGGACCTTCACCACCAGGCACATTCAATTCACTGAAGAACGCTTTGTAGTCAGCTTTAGGTTCAAACTTTTCTGTAGGGATTGAACCTGTGTTTAACCCCGTGATATGACCAAATTCGTTCAAGCCAAACCTGATAGGTTGACCACCAACTAGAAACCAAATCTCCTTCTTGTGTATTCTTAACTGTCTACACAGTAGAAAATGTACAGTCTTACCAGACCACACGAATTGGCTTTCAGCTAGCTTAGCAATTATTCCAATAGGTGACCCCTTCAGTTCATTCCACGCATCTTGTCCTATTGATTCTATAATCACAGGGACATCTCCCATCTTGATATTGTGATTTAACAATTTATTCTCCAGAATAGACTCCCCTTCTGCGTAAAGTCTTGGAGGGTAATCCCTTGGTTGTTCTTCAGAAATAACCATAGCCATCTGATAAACCATAAATCAGCCGTAAACATACAGTAACTCAGTCAAAACATAAAACAAACTCAGCCACAGTTGAGCAGATAAACCATAACTCAGTCGTAAGCATAGAGTAACTCAGCCACAACGTAAAACAAACTCAGCCACACCATAAAACAAACTCAGCCATAGATGCATTGATAAATCATAAATCAGTCTAAAGCAAACAATAACTCAGCCATGGAATCGAGTAGATATAACAAATTAGCCACCATATGAAAATCAACGTTGGCGATAAATCAGTTGTAATAAGCGTCGATAAAAACCCTCAATTTCTTCGCGATAGTTTTCGGAAAACGGTTTCAATCACGGAAATCACTCGCTATTGAACTTAGATGCGGGAAAAATGTCGGAAAATCCAAAATAAAGATTCGACACATACCTTAAACAAGTTGAGTTGAGACGAAATGGTCCCGACTTGAGGTGAGGCGACGAAGTAAAAGGTCCCGACTTGAGTAGAGCGAAATGCGACGGAGAGAACAAGAGAGTTAAGAGTTTCGGCCGGAATTAGGGTTTCTTAGTGTTAGTCGGAATCGCGTTTCCGTCGGAGAAAGAAAAAGTTTTTACAGTTTTTTTTTTTCGGAGATGAACAGTGACAGAGAGGGAAATCGAAAGGGTTCTCTTAATGACGTTAATGACATGACTTTAATTTGTTTTTCTTTTAATGACGTGGATTAAAAAAATCTTTATAAAAAAAAACTAATCAAGGGTGTTAATTGTAATTACACAAAGACGCTAAACATATGAGTAATTTTTTAAAAATGTATGATATTCTAGTAATATTCGAACTTTTGGTTAACATCTGAGTAAATATTTCTCATTTCTTTTAGTTGAACACTAAAAAAGGACAAGACAAAAGAGATTTTTATTTTTGAACTTGTTGGCATTCTTCTTCTTGCAAAGATCTAAAATAGCACAGCTCCTCGAGTGACACGTGTCGTAACTTCACTATATCATCGTATCTAATCTCATCTAAACTTATGGAAATTGGAAACATCACCTTCACACTCACACAACAAGCCACATTCCAAATAGCCAAACCTACTAATTTTTCTTCTAATAAGAAAATTATTTACATTAAAATCCTTATTTTAGTATCATTGATTTATTAGAGCATTTAACCTAATTAGACTATTTTGTAACTATGTAGTATGTATGCATCTAATTTCTATTAAATTTAAAATTAAATAAAAAGAATGTTTAGGACTTGTCCTATGCATATTTTAAGTCTTACGTTTTTAAATTTTTTTTTTATCATTGTTACGATAACTACATGGATGCAGGAATAGCGACATGGACTAAATAACGTATCCAAGCCAAGGAGCTTACCCCGAATAATCCTGACAAATGATGATTCAGACGAGATTCAACATTTTTGAACCACGAAACTCTTGGTTTCCATTTTGGTTGTAGGTGTAACCAACCCCCTATTAAGGATAGGGCAGAAAGAAATAATAGGAAAAGAGCTCCAGTATAAAGATCTTCATTAGTACGTAAACCGATTGTATACCACCACTGATAAACACTAGAATAAGCTATATTCACCGGGCCAAGAGTACCTCATTTCTTTTTTTAGCTAAGAATATGACTTTCTATTTCAATTCAAAAGTTCATGTTATCCAAAAAAATGGTTATTGATTTTGTAGTATTTGTACTATGTTCCAATGCTATTGAAATATGATTTCTAACATTTCTATTCTTAACACAGTCACAATGATTAGTCATTTTTTTTTTGTCAATCACACATTATTTATTAAAAAAACTTCTTGATTGGTTACCCAATTAGGAGGAATAGTGCTTACAAAAATAACTTCAGTAAATAATAGAAGAGAAGAACGGGCTAAGCAGTCCGCCTTGACATTACATAAACGAGAGAAAAAGGGAAAGAGACACGAATCAAACCAAATTCGTCTAGTTGATTGGAGAAGGCTGGCCATTCTTCAGGTGATTGTACCATCGAGACTAACTCTGAGCAATCTGTTTCAAACGCCTGACAATCGATCTTTCTTGAAAGGATATTCTTCATTCCCAAATTAAGGCTTCCATCTCCGAGTGAAGGGGGGGAGGGGCATCTCCGGAGGCACTTTGCACCTAGCAATATTGTTTGATCATTTCCTTGAAAACACCACCATCCTATACCCATAGTTGGATCCGAAGATTTCCAAGAGCCGTCAATCCGGCATCTTAAGAATTGGATTGGGCTTTCCAGTATTTCCGTAGTTATAGTAGTTTCGATCGGTTCCAAGTGAGCATCTTCCCACATTGATTTCTCACTCAATGCGTGATTTAAAATATTTGTGGGTTCAGATTGTACTCCTTCAAAAAAAAAATTATTCCTATCTTTCCATATAAACTACAATATCCAAGCAAAACAGTTGATTAGTCAATTAAATCAACAAAATCTGATCCTTAACAAAAACTTTGTAACACAGGATAACTTGATTGTCTAGAATCAAACTCAAGTAACAAATGTCCTAATCCTAAAAGTAGAAATTAAAAAGACTTGATTAAATACATTTCTCCAACACATATATTCATTATACTATTTAAAATGTTATAATAAACAAATAAAAATAAATATTTCACTCTTTTAAATATTCAAAACTCTGTAGCTATTTTAACAAATTAAATGGAGCTCAAAATCATCGGAATAATTATGTCAAAAAAGTGAAATTATAAAAAAAAATAAAGCTACTCATTTATGACTATGCAGAATAGGCCTGGGCATAAAACCCGAAATCCGAAAACCGATCCGAAACCGATCCGAAAAATCCGGAACCGAATCCGAACCGAATAGTCACAAAATCCGAACGGATAATGAATTCTCCTATCCGAATTACCCGAACCGAACCCGATCCAAACCGAAAACCGAAAGGATATCCGAAAACCGGAAATAAAAATTATATATCCAAAAATATTAGTTATATTTAGTTGTAATTTTATAGCAAATAACAAAAATATCCTAAATATCCTAGATTTCGGAAAAATTTTAGTTATATTTGTTAAAATTATACATATTTTTGCAAAATTTAACCAAATTTTAGTAAGATTAAACCAATTTTTATTAACATTGAACTATTTTTAAGTTTTTTTTTCCCAAAAACCGATCCGAATCTGACACCTATCCAAACCGAAACCGAACCGATGACTCATAAAATCCGAACGGATAATAAATTCTCCTACCCAAATTATCCGAATCCGAATATATCCGAACCGAAACCGAACCGAAAAATCATAAAATCCGAACGGATAATAAACTCTCATACCCGAATTATCCGAATCCGAATATATCCGATCCGAATCCGATTTGAAATCCGAATGTCCAGGCCTAATGCAGAATTAGAAACTATTAAATTTTCATGTTAAAAAAATAATAAAAAGGGAATTAAATAAAAAGAAAACACGTGCTAATGCTTCTCCTCCTCCTCCACATCGCCGGGTTTTCCTCTTCCTCCCCCGTGAAAACTGCATTTTTATCAATTCTCCAGATTCCCCAAACCCTAAATTCTCTCTCTCTCTCCAAATTTTCTCCGTCGTTTTCCTCAAATTTTCTCACTTTTTGATGTCTTCTTCTTACTCTTTATCTTTCAAATCAAATCTTCTTCTCTCTCCAGCTCAATGAGTCAACCAAATCTAGATCAAAGTTTGAATTTTTAAACTTTATTTTCGTTACTTTCCAAAAAAAAAAAAACGTTTCTTTTTTTTATCTTCTTCGTGCAAAATCTCTCTGTTTTTCACCATAATCGAATTCAAAAACAGAGCAAAGTTTGTAAATTTCTCGGTAAAGTTCGTTTTTTTTCGATATCTTGGTTTGTATAGAGAAAAGGGTTTTCAAGGAAAATCTCTCAAAATCTGTAGATTCATTGTTATAAAATGGGAGCGGTGACGTCATCAATGGCGGCGAAGTTTGCGTTTTTCCCGCCAAACCCGCCGTCGTACGGCGTCGAAGTGGTGGAAGGAAAGCTAAAGCTGATTGGTGTAGAGAACGTGAAGGATAACGTTGAAAGTATTGAAGCTGAAGACGAAGAGAGGGAATCAGGTGGTTGCGGGCGTATATTAAGAACCCTACAGGCTTCACTAACGCTTCTTTTATTCTCACGGTAACGCCGCCGATCTTGGTCAGATGTTTGAGCTCTTCTCCGAGCTCAGCCTTCATCTTCGGGTTAACTTAATTGGGTAATTAGTTACTCTTCTTGCTTGAGATTGATAGATTTAGACATTTTTAAGTTGTTTTCATGGATTAGGACAAGTTGTTTTTGATTTGTCGGATGAAAAATAATGGAGAATCTTGAGTAGTTGTTAATGGATCTGTTGTGATTTTTGGTGAATTTGATGAACTTGTAAAGTGTAAAGAACCGATATTGGAGCTGAATTGCCTCAAAAACCGACCCAAATAGGAATCGAGATGCTCGATATATATATCGCCTTTGGTCCCTAGCATTGGATTGGTATAAGTGAGATCCATTGGATTGATTTCTGTATTATTTGGAAGATAAAATTTGAGGAATTTTGAAGCTGTTCTCATGGATTAGGACAAGTTTTTTTTTTTTTTTTTGTTTTATCGGTTAGTGTCTGCACACCTTGAGGCTGTAGATAGTTAGAAATAAAGGAGAATCATGAGAAATTGAGAATGAATTTGTAAATGGACCTTAGTTCTTAGAACAGACATAGGTGAGATCCATTGAATTGATTTCAGCAACATTTGGTAAATACATTCGAAGAATTTTGATGTCCTAATAGATTAGGACAAGTTTTCGTTTTCTCGATTAGTTTTTCCACATCTTGAGGCTGTAGATCGTTAACAATAAGAGATAATCATATGAGTATTTGAGGATGAATTTGTGAATGGATTTTAGTTGCTAGATCAGACATAAGTGAGATCCATTTTGTATGAATCTTGATTTGTTTATGTGACTGTTATGATTCAGGTATGATTATTCGGGTTACGGGAGGTCTTCAGGGAAGGTATGATCCATTGTGTTTGATTTTATTCAATCAAATTTCTCAAGAATGATGTTTGTTACTTTGGTTTTTTACCAACAGCCTAGTGAGCAGAACACGTATAGCGATATAGAAGCAGTGTATAGATGTTTGGAGGAGAAATATGGTGTGAAGGAACAGGATGTTATCTTATATGGACAATCTGTAGGAAGCGGTCCGACTTTGGAATTGGCTTCTCGATTACCTAACCTCCGAGCTGTTGTTCTTCATAGTGCAATTGCTTCCGGTCTTAGAGTCATGTACCCTGTTAAACGAACTTACTGGTTTGACATTTACAAGGTAATATTTCATTCTCCTTATCCGCTTTTTTTTCCTGATTCCGGTTATTACTACGGTTCTAATATGTTTTTGCAATTGCAGAATATCGAGAAGATATCTTTTGTCAAATGTCCGGTTTTAGTAGTTCACGTACGTATAATCTCATATCCATTTCGGTTTTTCTTTCTTTTAAAGTCGTTTAGTTATTTATTCGGTTGTGCATGCAGGGAACATCAGATGATGTTGTAAATTGGTCTCATGGGAAGCAATTATTCGATCTGTGTAAAGAAAAATATGAACCGCTTTGGATCAAAGGAGGGAACCATTGTGATTTAGAGTTATACCCACAATACATAAAGCATCTGAGGAAATTTGTATCAGCGATTGAAAAATCGCCTCATCTTAGAAACGGACCTGTGCCACAAACAGAGAAGGCGAGGAGCAGTACAGATATTAGAGAACCTGCAAGACCAAGCACAGATCAAAGAGAGAAATCAAGAACAAGCACAGATCAAAGAGAGATGCCGAAGCTGAGTACAGATAAAGCGAGAGCAAGCGTTGATAAGCGAGAGAGAACAAGAAAAAGCGTTGATGGGACTGATAAACCGAGTAATTCCACGGAACAGCAACTACTACAACCAGAGAAAGGGAGGAATAGCATTGACAGGTAAAAAAAACAATTTCTCAGATTTGTAAGATGATGGTGATGATGTTGATCATGATGATGGTGATGATGATGGTGATGATGGTAACAGGTTTGGGGAGATGATAAGATCAGTAGGATTTTGCAACATAGATTGTTTCAAGCCTACAGCAACAGCTAAGTGAGGTAAGAGAAGAACACACTCACACAAGGATCAAAAACATCTAACTTTAGTTGTTTGATTTTGGTTTGTTATCTCTTTCCACTTACTTCCTCTTGTGCTTTGGAATTTAACAAGTCACTCGTCAATGTTTGATTCAAAAGCTTGATTTCGTTATTATAAACTATGAATGATACTACAGATTAGATTATGTTCATGCGCATTACATGGCATTTACCATGAGAAATCTACAGTGTAGCTTGGTTTGTCACCGTAAGGCGGTCTTCTTGTCGCTTAAGGTGGCTTTGCGCCTAGGCATGCTCTAAAAACCAAATATGTATAAATATGAAGCAATCAATAGTTAAGAGAGTCATGAAAAGGCAAAATATGTGTATCTGCATTACATTTTTATACAGAGTTTCTATAAACAACACTCATGGTGGTATTTAACCAGAAGCAAGCAAAAGTCCGCTTAGAACACTCAACAACAATAGTACAAAGTACAAACATATAGAGAAGAGAAGTCTCTTCTTCATTATTTGATTTCACACGTTTGTTTTTTCTTCTTCTTCTTCATTCAGAAACACCAAACTGCACATTTTCTCATTCCAAGATTACTCACGAGGCGCGTTCCTCTTGAATAGTGCATAGGCATCGCTGTAAATGGCGATTGCATTGGACAATACCGCAAGAACGATCATGAAAATGGCTAAGGTTGTGTCCCTGTTTGTTGCTTTGCCATGACGATCCCTGCAAGCACATAGCAACAATCGAAATCAACTACCAAATCTGCCAAGGACGGTCTGGATATTTATATATATATATATATATATATATATATATATATATATATATATAAACAACTGACTTACTTTAGTATAATAGACGCGGGGAAGATGAAGCCGAGACAAACAGCAGCAGTTGCTCCAGTGAATTGGAAAGCATCCCAAATGCTCGGGATGAAGTTTGCACCCAAGAAGACTACAGAGATGAGACCGGCAGTGAGGCAACCAAACCTCACATTTGAGGTAGATAATGATCGGGCGGAAGGGAACAAGAGCCCGTCAATGTTAATCCGCAGAGGGTAGAAAACAATTGGGAACACGAGCATCAGATGAAGTGCATAGCTAACTCGAACTGCATCATTAAGGATAGAACCAAAAGGGATTCCAAGGTCGGTGTCAAAGTTTGCAAGGACATCATCAAGAGTATCATCACCAAACAAGAGGAACCCAAAAATGCTTGTCATAATGTAAACTGATGAGCAGAGCATAAGTGCTGATCGGACAACAGGTCTTATCTGAGAGGCGTCTTCGAGCTCGTTCTGTATGCTGTGAACTGCGACAAATCAAACAAACCCAAGAGTCATGAGAATTTTGTTCATTTTTCAAAGCTATGCTTCCAAATTAAGAACTAAGCACATACATACCATTGTAATGGCAAATGAATGCTGTGACAAGAACGGGTACAACTGTGAAGAGATTCCAGAAAGATGTTAAGTCGGTAACATCTGGTAGCAATCTTGGCATCGCCACACCGCCGCTGATCAACTTCATAATCGAAATTCCCGCTGTAATAATGAGAAACACAACCGCCAGAGCCACGGATAAGGCAGATGTAAATTTCAAAGAATCTGCAAAGAAAAGTATAATCATATATCAGGACCAAACATAAAAATTCACAATCCAAATCCCATTCGAGGAGTATCTACGACAACGAAAGAATCAGACAATTTGGTTTCAAACTCGAAAACACTAACCAATTCGCTTGAAGCAAGCTAATGGAGCAAACACACCAAGAGTTGTAATAAGAAGAATAGCAGCTCTTCCGTTCCACCAATGGTGACCGAACCATCCTTCAAGAACACCGAAATGATGGATTCCATCTTCCGTCTTTCCAGCCAACACATCACCTTAAAAAACAAAAAACAAGATTCAACAACACAGGGTAGCAACAGAATATCAAAAACTCGAAAAACTCGGATTACAATACCTATAATGATCATGTAAACAATCAAAACACCGATGTTGTTAACGAAAACCGCGACTTGAAGCAAAATCCTTCCAGGATTACCAAAAGAACCACCCATTAAACCACCGTAAGATCGATTCTTCCCAGCTTTACTAAACCTAAGCAAGAACTCAATCGATGCATCAGTCAAGAAAGCCATAACAACAATCATAGTGATTCCAAGTCCAAGTCCAAGAATCTTCATCGTAGCAGGCAAAGCCATGATACCAGCACCAATTATAGTCGTAGCGAGATTAAAAACCGCGCCACTAAAAGAAGCTCCATTGAATTCATCATAAGCAACTTCATCTCCATGATACTCTGGTAATAACGGAGCAACAATTTCATTAGCGCAAGAACTGTTCCTCCTTGGAATCGGAGCAACATCTCCAATTGTCATCTTGAAATTGCAAGCTGTCAAAATTCATTAGACAAAAAACATAAGACATCATACAAAAACAAATCTTTCTACAAAAATTGAAGCAACGAACCTTAAAAGAGACGAACTTTGATTCAACTGATTAGACAAGTAGGAATCAAAAGTCCTAAAATTGACTCAAACCCAGTTGGTTTTGATCGATATTGGTTTGACCCAGAAATTGGATTCTGACAAAATCGATTAAAAAAAAACGAAATTTGACTGTTTGAGCAAAGTCTTGAACTTTGATTCAAAACTTACAAGATTCGACGCGTAGGAATTAAAAAACTCTAAAATTGATCCAAACCCAATTGATTTTGATTGAAATTGGTTTGACCCAGAAAATAGATTCTGATTAATGAAATGAAATTTAACTCTTTGGACAAAAAGATTTGAACTTTGATTCAGAACTTACAAGATTAGACAAGTAGGAATCAAAAAGACCTAAATTGATCGAAACCCAGATGAAATTGTCTCGGAATTTTGATCGGAAAATGGTTTTGGCGCTAGAATCAGACACCAAAGTAGAAGAATTAGGAAAATTTTCTGAGGGAAGATTTATCTTCTAAAGAAGAATTTTGAGGGGAAATGATTTGGAGATGAAGGGAAATTATAGGCCTCACGATTTTGGTTTTGCTGACGATGAAAATTGTGATTGTTACGACACTATAATCTTTAAAAAGAAATTTAAAAATTGGATTTTGTTTGTTATTGGCTAATGAGAAACGTGTTTAGCCAAGATAGGTGAATTAAATGAAACTAAATAAAATAAAATTGTTAATTCACTGTATTAGGCTGCCGATTAATATGACCTTAGGTGGTGCTGATTGGATTTTGGAGAAAATCGACGCAGTGTTTAGGATTTACTGACTTTTGTAATTTAAAGTTTAGAAAAAGAAGAGAATTGGGTGAGAGATATTATTGGGGAACTTATTTAGTTTTCTTGTAATCTGACACAAGGCCTAGGACAACGATAATTTTAGCCATTCTTTTGTTCAATTTTAACCCCACTCGCTTATGCACTGTAGATCAAAGTTTGGCCCATTATGAGAGACAAAGGCAATGAATTTTGGCATTCTCGAGAAACTGTTACGTGTTATAGCTATCTAATTTTCGCAGTCCGACTTTTGGGTGTCTTCTCTCTTTTCTCTTCATTATTCCGCGCTTGCTACTGTTAACCCTAAGTCCCATCACTCTCTGTTCACATCTGATTTTTCTTTCATCAAACTCTCCCTCCGAAGGAATTAGCATTATCATCTCGGTAAGCCGTCGTCTCTGGGGTTATATTAACCGCCGTTCTCGTCGGAGAACAGAATTCGCGAGTTTAATGGCTTCTCATTTTCTTTCGGTTTTCGATGTTTTATAAAACACTATCAATTATTTTTGTTTTTCCTATTTCCAAACGCCATCATGTTACGCTTTCAGAATAGTCTTTTTTCGATTTTTACCGTTTATGGGTTTCGATCTAGTATAATCATAGATCTCCCTCGGATAAATTAGATCTCTACTTTTCTCGACACCACCTTTACCGATCTATTTAGATCTCTACTTTTCTCGACACCACCTTTACAGATCTTTTTTTTCTTTTAGCCCTTCCCGTATACTGCTCTATAATTCCAGATCTAATCCTTTGCTAACAACTTATTACCCTTATTTCTTTCTGCATGACATGGCTGTTCTGAAACTTCCTTCTCGTTTGTTTGCTGATAGAGAAGAGCCAGTAGGAGACCGAGTGAACTAGTATTTTAAGCTATATGCGATCAAGGTTATCCTCAAGGCTTTGCAACCGTCGGAGCTTGAGCTTATTTGTCCGTGCTTCGGAAAATTACTCGATGTTTACTCCAAACCGTCATTCTCGGGGAAGTTGGCCCATTTCTTGTTAACTCGGCAGCGGAGCGTTGTAGCGTACATATAAGTATACAAATGTAAATAACGCTCTATATATGTGTTTACATATATATATAAATGTTAATAAAGCTCTATGTATGTGTTTACATGTACAAAAATATTAATAACGTTCTCTATATATATATGTATTGACATGTATACATAGACCGAATTATTTAACACTATAATTATTTTTAACGCTCTATGTATGTATTTGTTTATATGTATACAAAATGTCAAAATCATATATAATATTTATTGGGTGTCCATGCAACTAGCTTAGTTGTTTAAAAAATTCGAAGAACTATTTATTAGGTATCCATGCAACTATGTTAGTTGTTTACATTTTTCGATTCCCGTCTAAAACTGCTTTCATTACGGATTCAAAATTCATAAAGCTCAAATAAAGTCATTGCATTTAATAACTGTCACCTCATTGTTTCTATCAACAGGTGAACATTTATTACATGTCTGTTTATTCTTCCGAATGCCTTAAAAGTCAAAAACATCTCCACCACGCGCATGCACAAATAAAGTTGTGGCATTTTTGTTATTACTTAGAACTCGAGACCCATTTATCTAATTTATTTATCTTTGTTAAAGACCAAAAATTCATATTGTTGATTAGCTAATTTTATGTCCAGTTTTTGTCTCTGCACAAATTCACCCTATACATTTTTAGAGTATTTTTAGCAAATAAATGCTGGAGTTCCACCTTATTTACGAATCCATACCATTAGCATTTATTATTTATTTTTACAAAATTTAAATAAAAGATATTAATCAAACGATATCTTGCGTAATTTGTTTCTAAAAATCTTTATACAATCTTTCCATATATTTTCAAAAAAAACTTCCGTGAATTTTACTTCACAAAATATGCATAAAACCGATTTATATCAAATATTTATATTAACATTTTGCATAACAATAAAACTACTAATTTATAATAATCAAAATATTCACATAGAAAAATTATATAATTTATATGATAAATTTAAAATATATATTAGTAGTATAAATTTAAAATCATTCAAGGAACGGTATACCACGGGTGAGATCCTAAAATTATTGGATTTTATAACAATAATAAATTATTATCTTGGATTTTATAACACTAATAATTTAGCTAACGGAATAATATAGACGGTTTTATATGGGATGACGGGTTTGGGTCGATATTAATAAAGAACGGTATATCAAGGATAAAATCCAAAAATTAACAATCAAAATACAATTATACAACCTTAATCACAAAACAAAACATACAATATTAACAAAACAAATACAACTTAAAATTTAAAAATTTTGGTAATACAAATATCGACCCATAGTATACCGCGGAGTAAAATATTCAAAATTTTAAAATTGACCATACATCGTTACTTAAAAAATGTATGTTTTGTATCTATACTTCAAAAATTGAAACCCTAACAATAGTAATCATACACTAAATAATACATAGATAGATATCTACATTTTAAAATAAAAACTAATATAATATATCTTCAGTTAATCTTTTAAAAAATAACATTACATTTTTTAAAAAAATATAACCCCGCGGTACACCGCGGGTTAAATTATAGTATAATATATATAAAAATCTATGCTAGTATTTTTAAAGTATATTTTTAGCGGGTGGGGTAAATTGCATTTGGATACAATAGGTATCTGATCCGTTTACGAATTTTGGTCATAAAAAATTTGTTGGGTCAGATTATATTTAACCCAACTCATACACCGGATATTCCATATTTAAATTATTATGAGTGTTTGTTTAAAACCACAAACTCTCCCAGGCACAATTTTCGAGAAGTCTAAAAGAAGCAAAACCTTTTCAAAAAACAAGATCTCACCCACTTTTTATTGCTAAAGAAGGCAATTCTCAACATTTCCGACGACCTCCCTCAACTCTCTGGTGTACGACAACCGGTTCACACCATGCCAAAGGGCATGGTTTGGTCAACTCTCACCCTTTCTACACACTTTGAAGAGTATCTCCTTATCTGCTCTTCAAGAATGCTGAGCTTCTAACCTTATTCCCCTGGAAGGAGACATCAGCAACCGTATTCACACTCTCACGGTATAGCTTAATCTCTATGTCCAGCCTTGTTTCACTAACCAATTTTGAATATCTCTTGAACCCTCTTGATACTTCTTGAACTCTCTCACATGCTAATGAACTAAACTATAGTAGACCTCCTCTGGTTTTCATAATACTCAAAATGCATTTATTTTAGATACTCATACACCGGATACTCATACACGAAAAATGTGTGTTCAACGTTCCACATCGACTAAAATATTTAGACAATAATTCAGAATCATATAACATTAATAAAATAAATGAATTCTTTGGCGGAACGGGTTTGGTGGAACAGATTTTTGAATCAACAATAATAAAAGAATAAAAATATCATTAATCCGCCGCTTCAATACGGATTAAATCCTTAATTTTTTTTAATACCACCAATATTAGACATATCAAGTCAGTCTCATTTAGAAAAGATTGTATAAAACCAGAAATTGTCCCATGGTATAGTGTTACTTAATAAAAATTGTAAACTATAAAATATAAATGTCTTAGAGAATGATACAATTTGCAAACTTTTATATATAATGAATAATCGTTTAATTTTTAAAATTACTACTTTTAGAAAACAAATCACGGGACGGGTTAAGAAATTACAGGACGGGTTATTTTTTGGAACCTGGTTATATGGTGGACGAGTTTGGATCAATATTTATAAAATTTTAAAATATCATTAACATGCCGCTTTAATACAGAGTAAATCCTCAGTTTACTAAAATATAAATGTCTTAGAGAATGATATAATTTGTGAACTTTTATATATAATAAATAATCAATAAATTTTAAAATCACTACTTTTACAAAACAACACGGGATGGATTAAGAAATTATAGAACGGGTCATATTTAAAAAATTTTAAAATATCATTAACATGTCGCTTTGATACGGGTTAAATTCACATTTTATTAACAATTTTCCTGTGGACTCGTAATATACCGTTACTTAATAACAATTGTAAACTATAAAATATTTAGATACAATTTATAAAATTTTATATATACTAACTTAAAAAAATAAATCATCTCGCGGTATACCACGGGTTAAAATCTAGTATATATATATATATATATATATATATATATATAAAGGGAATTGTTTGGTGGAAGTGAAAGAAATAAAAAGTAAAGAAAGACTCACAAAAATGCCCCTTTTTCAATACCCCTTTTCAAAAATGTCCTTTTTGGCTGTCCATTTTTAAAATACCCCTTTTTATGTACAAAATGAGTAAATTATCCTTCTTTTAATAAAAGATATCACAAATATATAAGGAAAACATGAAAATGTGCACATATCAAAATTACAAATTTGATTTTGTAAAAACTTGTAAAACCTTTAAAATACCTTGTAAAATTTTCCCGTACAAATTTTTCCCGCCAAAAAATTTTTTTTGCGGGAAAAGTGATTCCGCAATTTTTTTGGCGGAAAAATTTTTGGTGAGAAAAATTTACAAGGTATTTTAAAGGTTTTTACAGGGTATTTATAAGGTTTTATAATGTATTTTAAAAGGTTTTACAACGTATTTATAAGGTATTTATAAGATATTATAAGATTTTATAAGCTATTTTATAAGGTTTTACAAGTTATAAGGTTTTACAAGTTTTTTATAAGGTTTTACAAGTTATAAATACCTTATAAAACCTTATAAGTACCTTGTAAAACCTTTTAAAATACATTGTAAAACCTTAC